TCGCAACAGATGTAGAAAAAGCATTTGACAAAATACAGCACCCCTTCATGTTCAAAACACTAGACAAACTAGGGATAGTAGGAACATACCTCAACATTGTAAAAACTATCTACAATATGCCCAAGTCCAACATCATTCTAAGTAGAGAAAAATTGAAGGCATTCCCTCTAAAAACTGGAATCAAAAAAATACTGTTTTACCACTTCTATTCAATATAGTCTTGGAAACTCTAGCCAGAGCAAACAGATAGATGAAAGAAATTAATGGATGTAAATAGGAAAAGAAGAACTGAAACTATCACTATTTGCCAGTGACATGATTCTATATTTAGAAGATCCAAAAAATTCCACCAGAAAACTTCTTGAGCTATTAAATGAATTCAGCAAAGTAGCAGTATATAAAATCAACACCCATAAATCAAATGCATTTCTACATACCAGTGATGAATCTTCTGAAAGAGAAATTAGAAAAACTACCCCCTTTGCAACAGCCTCAAAAATACATACATACATACATACTATACTTGGGAATCAATCTAACAAGAGAAGTGAAAGACCTCTACAATGAAAACTACAGAACCTAATGAAAGAAACTGAAGACCTTAGAAGATGAAAATATCTCCCATGTTTTTGCACATGGCAGAATTAATATTGTCAAAATGGCCATACTACCAAAAGTGTTATGCAGATTTAATGCAATTCCTATTAAAATCCCAATGTCATTCTTCATAGAAAAAGAAAAAGCAATCATGAAATTCATTTGGAAAAATAAGAGACCCAGAATAACCAAAGCAATCCTTAGCAAGAAGAGTGAAGTAGGAGGTATCACAATACCAGACCTTAAATTATACTACAGAGCAAAAATAACAAAAATGGCCTGGTATCGGTACCAAAATACATATGAAGACTAATGGTATAGACTAGAAGACAGAGACAAACCCACATAAATACAGTTATCTCATACTAGACAAAGACACTAAAAACATACATTGGAGAAAAGACAGCCTCTTCAACAAATGGTGCTAGGAAAACTGGAAATCCACGTGTAACAAAATAAAATTAGATCCCTAGCTCTCACCCTGCACAAAACTCAAAGTGGATCAAGGACCTAGGAATTAGATGAGAGACCCTGCGCTTAACAGAAGAAAAAGTAGGCTTAAATCTTCATCATGTTAGCTTAGGATCTGACTTCTTTAACATTACTTCTAAAGCACAAGAAATAAAATCAAGAATCAATAAATGGGATGGATTCAAACTAAAAAGCTTCTTTTCAGCAAAAGAAATAATCAATAATGTAAAGAGAGAGCTTACAGTATGGGAGAAAATTTTTACCACACTCACATCAGATAGAGCACTAATCTTCAGGATATATAAAGAACTCAAAAAATTTAACGACAAAAGCAAATAACCCAATCAATAAATGGGCTAAGGAACTTAACAGACACTTCACAGAAGATATACAATCAATCAACAAACATATGAAAAAATGTTCAACATCTCTAGCAATTAGAGAAATGCAAATCAAAACTACTCTAAGATTTCATCTCACTTCAATCAGAATGGCAATTATCAAGAATACAAGCAGCAACAATAAGTGTTGGCAAGGATGTAGGGGGGAAAGTACACTCAAACGTGGGATTGCAAATTGGTGCAACCCCTCTGGAAAGCAGTATGGAGATTCCTTAGAAAACATGGAATGGAACCACCATTTGACCCAGTTATTCCACTCATCAGTTTATACTCAAAGGACTTAAAATCAGCATACTACAGTGACGCAGCCACATCCATGTTTAATTCACAATAGCTAAACTATGGAACCAGTCTAGATGCCCTTCAACAGATGAATGAATTAAGAAAATGTGGTATATGTACACAATGAAGAAGAAATTATGGCATCTTAAGGTAAATGAACAGAGTTGGAGAATATCATGCTAAGTGAAATAAGTCAATCCCAAAAACCCAAAGGGCAAATGCTTTCTCTAATATGCATATGCTGATCCCTAATGGGGGAGGAGGGCTAGGGAAGAATGAGAAACTTTGCATTTGGCAGAAGGGAATGAGGGAAAGGAAGAGGCAGTGGGAAGGATGGTAGAATGAGACAGACATTATTATCCTATGTATGATTGCATAAACGGTATGACTGCATTGTGTACAGCCAGAGAAATGAAAAGTTGTGCTCCATTTATGTACAATGAGTTGAAATGCATTCTGCTGTCATGTATAACTAATTAGAAAAAAACTTTAAAAATTTAAAAACAAAACTGGTGGGCACAGTGACACATGACTCTAATCCCAGCAAGGATGTTGAGGTAGGAGGATCATAAATTCAAGGTCAACCTCAGCAACTAAGAAAGATCCTAAATAATTTAGTGAGACTCTGTCTCAAAATAAAAAATAAAAAGGACTGGGGATGTGGTTCAGTGACTAAGCATCCCTGGGTTCAATCTCAGGCATCAAAACAAAACAAAATGGATTCTTTCATATGTTTTCAATTTAAGTCAGATCTCCAGATGTTCCCCTGACCACCTTCCAATATGTCAATCATTTCGGGTACAGAGGTGGAAAAAAAAAATCCTGGAAAATTAAATTATCTATGTATCAAATGAAATAACCTTTTAAATTGTCAGAAGATTATTTTATCCTCCTATGTAGCCATCTTTAATAATACCTACCTTTCCACAAATTAAACAAATGAATTTTACTCTGCTAAATACAATTCCTGCCAAAATCCTTCCCTATAGAAAACTGAGAATGAATGATACGCCATAGTAATTTAAAAATTAAAAATTCAATCATGCTATAAATCTACACTTTGAAAATTATTTTATGTACTTGATGAATGTTACTGTTGGTTAATGCCTAATATGTGGGCATAACTGAGGTTTACTTACTGGCAATCATTTCAATTACTTCAAACATTTGCAAGGCTGTTTTTGTTTGTTTGTTTGTTTGTGTTTTTTATTTTTTATTTTTTTGGTTGTTGATAGACCTTTATTTTATTCATTTATTCATATGCAGTGCTGAGAATCGAACCCAGTGCCTCACACATGCTAGGCAAATGCTCTACCACACTGAGTCAAAACCCCAGCCCTGCAGGGCTGGTTTTATTTGTAACTATTTCTGCCTAAAAGACAAATTGATGGATTTCCTCACACTTTGTAGCTCATGAATGTCCTGTATTTTGCTCACAATGTATTAACTCTTCTCACTATTTCAGTATATTTCTGGGCTTGCAGAAATGTACTGCAGGAAGGATGGCCTTATACTGGTAAATTTTTTTGTTGGCAGTCCTGCTTAAGAGCCAGATGAAATATTGTAGCAAGTTCAAGTCCAAAGTCAAAGAGATTGGAAGTCACAGAGCTACCACTATTGTGTATATTTTAATCAGGTATGCACAACCTACTGTTTTATAAACAAATTAGTTTTTATCTGTGTTATACCTTAAATTTACCTGCTGTGAGGGGAGGGCCCTAATTTTCTTCCACTCATAGGGTAGCATTATTTACAGTTAAGGAGGAAGAATAAGAAATTCTATACTTTTTCCTTAATGACTAAGTAAACTGATTTTGACAGATGATTAGATTCTGAAAGTTAGAGGCAGGAAGGATGACTAGATAAGAATGGTCCACAGAAGTCATGAGGCATGACGTCAAGAAGGAAAGGACTGGTCAACTGTTAAGTACTTCAGAAAAAGCAGTGACTCAGGATTTGGAGGTTGTGGGTGGAGGGCAGAAGTGATAAGTAGTGAAGTTGAAGAAAGTCATTTCAGCAGAGGGCACGGGGAAAACATAGACTGTGCTGCATCAAGGAGGAAAAGGGACTAGGGAAGCAAGAAGCTTTTCAGAAGTGAGCAATGAAAGAAAGAAGAAAAATGATCAGGAGCTAAAATAAGGCAAAAAGCTGAAATTTATTTATTTTTAAGATGCCTGAAAGGTAAATAAATATAAAAGGTAAGAATTTCAGCCCCAAAATCTTTGAAAAGCACAGAATTCAATCTAGAATTGCCCACTCTCTATCTCTATTGAACTGTCACAAAAGCATTTCAAAGTCCAAAAGTTCAACAGTAAATTCAATATCTTTCTTCCAAAGCCTGTCTTTCCTCTAGTACTGCTTATCTTTGTAATAGTATCTGTTTATGTGGGACCCAGGCAAAAAAACCTAAGTCTTCCTGCACTTTTCTCTCTTACCTGTTCCACCCTGTTTTAATCATAACAAATGACTTCTTGTTCCTCTAATGTATTATTTTGTTTCTCACCTATGATAGGTATATCATAGTGCTTTGCTCATGTTTCTTCCTTTACCTAGAAGTTTCCTCAAACCCAAGCTACATACTACTTATTTATCAGTCAAGACTACTCAAAACAAAAACTAAGAGGGGGAAAGGAAGGAAAATAAAAGAGACTCAGCACATTCTCTTCTATGAAGCCTTTCCGAAATATATCTTTGCACCCTAGGAAATTTAACCATTTCTTTGTTTAGTATTCATTCCCATTATTTCTAATGGTCCTGATGACAATTTATTTTTCCAAGTAAGTACAGAAACAAATGGTTGCCATCTATTATTACCATCACAAAAATAACATTTTATATGAAAATAATTTTTATCAAACTACCTTAATGTCACATTAAAAGATGCTTGTTCTTTAGAAGGTTAGCAGCCTTACATTAACTGTACTTAGACATACTACGTCATTTCTCACTTCACTAAAGACCAATGAAAATAGCACAGTGCCCTAACAGATTCTCCTCACTAATACCCTTAACACTTCATTCTTCTCCTTTGTAAACATACCTCCCTCTGTTTACTAGTTGGTAAATCCCTTAGGAACATAGTTTATAAATACTTAATCTTTGTATCTGCAATATTCAATCTAGTCCCTGAAACAAAATAGATATGCAATAAATGTTTGGTAAAAGTATAATGAAGAGAAAGCAATAGAGAAAAAATATATAAGGGCTAAAAAGGAGATGAAAGAATATCTTTGAAAAATAGCCACCAACTTGTAATTGAAGCTATAGATGGATTAGTGATCTCTAAGCCAAAAGGATTCTTGACTTGTCTCATTTGCTTTTTGAAAACTCTTGTGTTGAACTGGGTCTCTTCTGAATTTCTCAGAATTACTGGAACATCCCAACCAAACCTAAAGAAAAGTAAAAATAAAACATAATTTTAACAATTATGTTGAAATTTTATTGTCATATGTATATTGTACTTCATGAAGCTAGTCCTTTTAACACAGATTGTTTAAAAGAGGTTGTTACTTTACTTATACTATTTTGCAGAATTAATCTAGTATTAAGAGAGATTAGAGGTCCCATAGCACCGCAACACACAGTTCAGCTGGCTGAATAAACATACTCTTGAGAATAAGAGTTATATTGTTAATATTCTTAATAGCAAAAAGGAACATAGTGATTTTAGGTAAATTATACTTACTAGCAAAAACAGTATAGAATTATTACATTTTAAAAAAGATATGAAAAACAAATATACATTCAATATGCAGACTACTTGCTATAATTTATCAGGCAAGAGAACTTTTAAAATACCAAAGATAGTCCTTCATTTACATAAGCGATTTTCTATTTTTAAATTTCATGTAAAAATGTAAACTCTGACATACACAGTGAACAGATTTGAAAGGAAAATGAGACTAAACTCAGTTTTAGTAAAATTTCAGACTTCGATATACTCCTTTCTCTATATATACATACCAGTAATAGATAAGAAATAAAATTAAAGAGACCTTGCTGAAATGAGTAAGCAAAACAGTATATTTTTAAACAAAGAAATAGTAATATTTAGCACTGAAAGAAACCAACTTTTTGCTATAAGCACGTGAATGAATTTCAAAAACACGATGCTGTGCAAAAGAAACCTCATACAAAGGAGCAAACACTATATGATTCCCTATTATAAAATTCCTGCCAAGAACAGTGGCACATGGCTGTAATCCCAGCAACTCGGGAGGTTGAGGCAGGAGGACACAAGTTCAAGACTAGTCTTGGCAACTTAGTGAGACCCTGTATCAAAATAAAAAGTAAAAAGGCCTGGGGTTGTGGTTCAGTAGTAGAGCACCCCTGGATTCCATTCACAGTTCTTACAGTTCTGAAAAAAAAAAAAAAAAGAAAGAAAGAAAAAGGTAAGTAAAGAAAGGAAATTCTAAAGTAGGCAAAACTAACTTCTGGGAGAAATAAAAAAGAGAACAAAGGTTGCTTCTGGGAGTACAGGAGTAGGAAATGAGTGGGAAGGAGCATAAAGAACCTTTACTGGTGATGAAATCTATATCTTGATGAAAGTTGAATTGAATAGAAAGTTTGATAACACTTGGCCAATGATATGCTTGAGAACTGTTCATTTCATTGTATGTAAATATTACTTTAAAAGAAAAAGAACTACGAACAAAACAAACACTGAACTCTCCTAATAATAGTCATGCTCTGGTACTTATGAACGAAGAGCACAACTTCCTTTGAAATGTATCCCAAAATAAGATGGACTGTTGATTGGATAGAAGATGGATGAATGGACAAATATGTAATAAGAAAATTATAATAACTTTGGTGTAGAATCTAAGTGATGGGTAAATGTTCCCTATATAATTCTTTCTACTATTCTGTTTGAAAATTTTTATAATAAAATGTTGGAAAAGAGACATAGCTGGGTTTAAAAATAAGTATCTTAATGGATCTGACAAGGGAAAGAAACATTATGAGTAAAGCTGATGCCATGGTGTGATGGGCCCTGAGTCTTGTAGCAGGCAGTGGCAACTAAGCCTTCACGTACTAGGAAGCCAGTAGAGGTTATCTATCCAAGACAAGGGTCAGATCAAGGTTTATAATACCAGGAGCTGGGTTAGGCAAATGTCAATCTTGAGCACAACTATCATTATAAGTCTCAGTCTTAAGACTGATCTAAGAATCTAGGTGTAAATAATTATAAAATCATACCACGAAAATTTAGGTTGAAAACTAATATGTCAAAACATGACAATAAACCTAATGCTGAGAGGACATCAATAAAATTAACAAATAGAACAGAAATCCATTCAAGATGATGAATTTAATTTTATTGGACAGTTAGAAAAAGCTGCTCTGGCCCTGCCTAATAAAGCTGGGAAGTAAGCATCTACCAGATCAAACTGTTTGCAGGCATCTTAACTGTGACCCAGAGAAAACCTCAAGAATACAAAAATACCCAGCATCTCATAAGGTAAAATTCACAATATTTTTGCATCTATTGAAAAAATTAATAGGCATGCAAAGAATTAGGAAAATATTACCTATAATGAGGAGGAAAAACTAAACAAAAGGTAATTAAAGTTAGAACATATTATATAGAGACATGGACGATATAAAAAAGACCCAAATTAGGGCTGGAGTCATAGCTCAGTGTTAGAGTGTTCACCTAGTCCATGTGAGGCACTGTGTTTGCTCCTCAGCTTCACGTTAAAATAAAATAAATGTATTATGTCCATCTACAACTAAAAATATCTTTTTAAAAAAAGACCCAAATCAACTTCTAGAGATGATAAATACAATATACTGAGATGAAAAATACACTGGATGGGATTGACTGCAGAACAAAAGATGAGTGAATAAATCTGAAGGCAACATAATAAAAAGTACCCCAATGAAACAGGAAAAGAAAACTGAATAATAATAATTTTTAAAAAGTCAGTAGAACAAAGGACAATTTCAAGCAGCCTAATATACATGTAATTGAAGTCTACAGAGCAAAGTCAGAGGACAGATAAAGCATTTAAACATATAATGGACAAATTCATTGAAAAATATAAACCCACAGATCCAAAAATTTAATGAACTCTAAACACGAGAAACGAGGAAGAATACGCTCAAGCACATTGTAATCAAACTGCCTTAAACCAGTGATAAAGAAAATATCTTTAAAGAAGCACTGCATAAGACAGTAGTTATTCTTGCAGAATTAATGAAAACCAAAATATCTTTAAAGACATAAAATAAAAAGCTGTCTGTCAGAATTCTATACCTGTATTTTTTCAAAATCAAAAGAAAAATAAATATTCTTTTCACACATAACAAAAGCAAAAAAAGAATTCTTTATCAACATCATTTCTTGCACAACAAGAAATATTAAAGGAAATCTTTTGGGGAAAAGGTGAATGATACCAAGTAGCAATTTAGACTGATACAAAAAATGTACAGCACAGAAATGATACTGATGTGGGGAAATATAATGTTCTTCTTATTTCTTTTTTTTTCCTTCTTCTTTCTTAAACCTCTTTAAAATATTACTTGAAAATTAACAGAATACCACAAACCCTAAAGCAATCACTAAAAAAAGTTATTGCTAACAAACCAACATAAATCACTTAACTAATGCAAATGAAGAATGAACAAGAGGGGAAAAGGAAGAAAGTACAGACAGGACAAATAGAAAATAAGTAGCAAGATGGTAAACTTAAATCCAACCTTATTGATAACAGCATCAAATATAAAATGATTAAAAGACAAAGATTATCAGATTGGATAAAAACATAAGACCTAACTACATGCTGCATATACAAAACCCACTTGAAAAATAAAGACAAAAAAACAGATTATAAGTAAAATATGGAAAAAATATACCTGCTAATACTAATCAAAAGAAAGCTGTAGAGGCTGGGGGTATACCTCAACAGAAAGTACTTGCCCAGCACGCAAATGTCCCTGGGTTCAACTCTCAGCACTGCGGGGGGGGGGCTGGAGTGGCTATATTAATGTCAGACACAGTAGATATGAGGGCAAAGACTATTACCAAGAGTACAGATGGCCATTTCATAATGACAAAAGGATTAATTAATTAGGCAGACACAAGAATTCTAAATGTTTACGCATGTATTAATAGAACTTCAAAACATAAAGTAAACCCTAACACAATTGCAAAAAGAAACAGAAAAATCCACATAGTCAGCAATTTAGACTCCTCATGAACTCAATAATTGGTAGCACCAATAGATAGAAATATCAGTAAAAATAGCAAAGACTTGACTAATACTATCAAATCAATTTTACCTGACAGGTATAGAACATCTCACCCAATAATAGCAAAAAATATATTCTTTTTAAGTGCATTAGGAAATTTACCAGAGAGGGAGGCCATATTCTGGATATAAAACAAATCTCAATTCATTTACAAGGTCAAATCATAAGAACTATATCTGGCCACAGTGGAATCAAATAATAAGTCACTAACAGATATCTTGAAAGCTCCCAAATATTTAGATTAAATAGTAAACTCCTAACTAAGCCAGATTTCAAGGAGAATTTTAAAAATTATGAACTAAATGAAAATGAAAATATATAAAACAAAATTCATGTGATGTTGGTAAATCAATCCTCTTGGAGAAATTACAAATCCTAAATGGTTTGCTCCTGAGCATCATACCCTCCCCACCAAAAAAAGAAAAAAAGCACCAAACACCAGCTACTCAATCTTATTAAATATAGACCTCCAATTAATCAAGTTTCAGTCAGATAAACAAGTACAAGATAACAAATTGTTTCTTTCTTTTTGGTGGTACTGGGGATTGAACCCAGGGGTGTGCCATCATGGAGCTACATCCCCAATGCTTTTTTTTTTTTTTTTTTTTTTTTTTAAGACAAGGCCTCCCTAAATTGCTCAGCCTGGCCTTGAACTTGCAATAGTCTGCCTGCCTCTGCCTCCTGAGTTGCTGGGATTACAGGCACCTGATGATGAGTTAACATTGTAGATCCAGAATTTCTTGAGAATATATCCTGGGCCTAACAAACTAATAATCCATTCTCACACATATTCCCAGGTTCCCACAGGTACAATTTAGCAAAATCTTGCAATTCTTTTATAGGAAAAGCTATTTCCAGCCAGACCTGATTTTTGCTCCTGTACTGTGGAACATGCAGAGATCTCCATCTCAGGGCAAAAGGTAGGACTAAGTATGGATATCCCTTTGCAAGGAGACTGCTCTAACTGTAGTTATCACAAGATCTTCAAATGAGGGAAGACTAGATTTCTAACACATGAAAGACTACCTTCATCAAAAGGGCAGGCACAGAGTAACTGGGGTTTCAAGATTCTCAGTGTGTCCATGTCTATCTAGATGTCCCCACTCTAAGTTTAGAGACCCACTTCTTTCTAATCAATGTGCTAAATAAGACACTAAAAGGCTGTAAAGTCTATAACCAGCACAATTAAAACTGGGTTAAATTTTTAGCAAGGTTGACCCCGTGGCTATACAAAATAAAGTGCTTTAGAACCACAGAAACTCTGATTCTCCGAGACTTGATTTGAGAGTTTCAAAATTTGAGTTGGTCATTTTCTTTCTGTAAGCACTCCAGTGAACTCAGCAGCAACCAAATCAGCTCTCCCTCAGCCCCTGTAGGCACTGTTCCTGCTGTAACAGTCAAACGCTTTAACTACTTGGTCCCCCAAGGCAGCTGCTTCAGAAATAATTTTATCACCATTAACCAAAGGTAGTAATTTAATAAATTAAAATATACTACATGCCATAGATTATTAGAACCTTATTTCTCATTAGCAAGGAGCTGAAGAAATAACCAATTCAGCCCCCAAACCCTATCTCTAATGATTTTTTCTTTCTAGGATTCCATTCTTAGTAACACTTTATCAGCCAGGGTCCAGCGAAGAGAACAAAACCACACCAGTTATTTTAACAGAGAACTTAAACATTAAAAAATGTTAACCAGGGCTGAGGATATAGCTCAGTATAGAGTGCTGACTTGGCATGTGTGAGGCCCTGGGTTAGATTCCAGTAAGAAGAGAGGGTTAAACCAAAAGTTGAAGGAAAAAAAAGGCAAAAAGGGGGAAACTGAATATCAAAGAAGTAGTAATAGCAGGAAGCAGTTATTATTCCTAAGACAAAGGAATAGAGGGAAGAGAATTACAACAGTGCAGAAATTTAGAGTAGCGACTCCATGGAGCTAGGATTCAGCTGAGGAAAGGATATTGGTATTTTTAAGGGGTTGTAGAGATTAGTTCTAGAACAGTAGAAAACTAAACTGGAATAACTTGAGACCACTGCCAGAATAAAGACAGATAAGAAAAGGAATCAAACAGAAATCAGAAAGCCCCTTTATCCTCTTGAAAGCCTTCCAGCTCTCCCTCCTTTCTTGGCAAAGCCTGATACACAGAAAGCTAGCAAAAGAGAAATATGGTTTAGAGTTCTGCCCCAGATTCACAGAGGTATGGCATGAAGAGGGGTGGTTTGAATATGTCCTGGCCTAATAAACTAGCTATCCATTCTTATACATATTCCCCAGGTTCCTATAGATACAAGTTGCAAAATCTTGCAATTGTTTTTATAGATAAGCTGCTTCCAACTAGGTCAGAAAAGGTGGTATGAAGTTGAGAGACAACAGTTTAATAACCCACAGTTAAGAGGAAAGCAGGGGGTAGCTGCTGAGTCAGGATCCTTGAGTATTTGAGACTGTTAAAAGATGTATATGGCATTTTGGACTCCTTTCTGCACAGTGACTGACAGGAGCTAACAGAAACTACCATGTAGATAAAAAGAAATATCACACATCCAATGGCATGATTCTTTCCTATTGCTATTGATATCTAGTAATCAGATGATCCTATTCTTTCTCTACTTTCACCAGTATAGGTGAACACAAAGCAGTAGAATGAGCAATAGGAAAGAAACTACACTGAGGTAAAAACCATGACAGAGAAAACAGATTACCAAAAGGGAGGCAGGTCTCTTAAAAAGTATTAAGGGAGGTCTTTTAAAAAATGAAAATTATGGTGGGCTACTTAGTTTACCCTCTGGCCCTGTTTTCGTGAGATCAAAATAGAATCCAAATTTTCTTCATTTATAGTCAATAAATCTGTGACCTTGGCTTAGGTTTGCAAATAATAGTCAAAAGTTTAATTACATGGGCAAAACTAAGCCACATGAAAAGAATGGTTGAGTTAGGCTCAATGAGGCCTAATCAGGATGGAAATGACTGCCACATACATGGATGGTCTTGTGGCTTCAGCAGTGCTTTGGGAAGCAGAACTTCCACCCTTATACCTACATGGATGATTGAGTAATTGCTAAATATTGAAACTAAGCCTTAAACCTGGCAGAGTCAATCATAGTTGGGCATGGTGGCACTCATGTGTAATCCCATCGACTTAGGAGGATGTAGCAGGAGGATCGTAAGTTTGAGACAAGCCTCAGCAATTTAGTGCAGCTCTAAGCAACTTAGCAAGACCCTGTCTCAAAATAAAAAAGTCTGGAGATGTAGCTCAGTGGTTAAGCACCCTGGGTTCAATCTATGGTACCAAAAATACAAAAAGTGAAAAACCTGACAGTCAGGATTTGAACCTCGGTCTGTCTTATGCCAAAATCTCTCAATATCTCAATCTCTCAATTTAAGTACATAATATAATTATCAACTAGGTATTGATTTTCCTAATGGAGAAAAATTATGTTTAAGAGGATTACAGCAACATTATAGTCATTTTAAAAACTTGTGTTAAGACTGCTTTTCACACTTGGGCAACACCTTCCTAATTTCTAGTTACAGATTTTCTTGAAATGAATAATAGCAATAAAACTTGATGGGTCAAGAATAACAAATTATGGAAGACTGGTTTTCATCTTTCCCCATCCACATACAAAGAATTTTCCATTGTTTCACGGGCAGGTTGGGGAGCAGTATGGAAATGCTAAAACTTCGATTAGTTCCTAAAGATGCCATGTATTTTCAGAAACTGACAAGGGCCTGTGTTCTTTCTTTAAAGTAATGACATAAATAATCAAAGGGTATTTTTGAACTTGTTTTACAAAGCCTGCTTTAGTTACTAGAATGTACTTCTGTACTCAAGTTGTGTTCTCTGAAATGCCTTCTCTTCTCAACTATCCACACTCAACTACTTTTCAAAAAAATTCATTCTCCAAAATTCAGCTCATGTCTTTCTCTTCAGTGGCGTTCTCTCAGAAGGGTCAGGTCATAGCTGTTATCACTTAGAACCACTATTAGACACATTTGGAACCACCATCTTTTCAAAGGGTCTTATGAAGGCTGCAGCCTTGTGGGCTAGTAAAATGATTCCAACTTTATTTATAAGGCTTGACTCAACACAGTACAATGGCATCTCCTCAAGAGAGAAAGATAATCTATGGGCCAGAAGAATTGCTTAGGAGTTATTTAACAATCTGTCCTCTTTGTCTCCAATAGGCAAACTGCTTCAACACCATAGTGTAACTTATTTCTAAGGTCTCTTCCAGCTCTAAAATTTTTATTTTTATAATTCTATCGACTATTCAAAAGGTGTGGAATTGTGGAATGGGCATAGAAATCATTAAATTCTCAAACGGTAACTGATTCTGAGAAAAGTTCCACTTAAAGATCTGAGGTCAAGTGTTTAGGTCGGTCAGAAACATTAACAATCACTTCTTGTTACTGTCCATGACTGTACACTGAACAGCAGGTGACTGGTTCACTCTGGGCACACAGTAGGCCTCAATCGGGGACAAAGCCTGCCGGACAAGTACTTTATCCCAACATCAAGACCAGACACTTCCTGGCGGCTTTATCCCCTAGAAACAAAGCTGGGTAAAATATCCCAATCCGGTACCACTCCAGAAATCCGCAGCTCCGGGGGCCTGACGGCGAAGCCTGGCAGTGACGCAGGTGCAGTGTTCACCTGGTTCACCCTCAGCAGTCAGTCGCAGTGCTCCTCACCGATTACCCAACGGCCTCTCAGGCGCCCCAGTCCCGTGGGTTCCTGCTCCTGCGCCCACTGGTGCTCGCCGCGACCCCTCTCCAGGGTTGTCTGTCCCTTCGTCCCTTGCTCCTAGCCCTGGAACACTTACCATCCTAGTACCAGGCCGGTGGTCACGATGAAGCAAGTAAAGACCACCGCGATGTAGAAGAGCGGTGAGTATTCATAGAGCGTTACCAGAAACACCGCAGCCATTAGGGTCCCCTGGGCTGAGCCCGGCTCCAGCCGCCCAGCCCAGCCCAGACCAAACCGAGCCAGCTCGGCCAGGGGTAAAAGCCACTACGGTGCCCCAAAGCGGACAAACTTTCTAGTTCCTCCCTCACCAAGGCTTCCCGTGAGGTGGAAGTAGAGGCAAGCTCGCAGGAGGTGGGAGCCTGCGTACCAATCACAGCGTCGCCAACAGAGCGTGCCACGCCCCTCCCGCTCCCGCCTCAAGCTATTGGCTTCGTGGAGGGGCGGAGCCCCAAATCGCACCGCCCCCAACTCCGGGGATTGGTAGCCTGCAAGCACCTCCTTCGCTAATCTGGTCCAATGGTGATCACTGTTCTGCCGGCAAATTCTAAATAAAAATTGGAACCGACTCCAAAATGTAGGCAAAGGCAGGTGTTTTGGTGCCCAAGAGAAGCAATCCGAAATCCACGTGCATAGTTTCCAAATCCTGAAACTCTACATAGGCAAATTTGGGAAGAGAAGGTCAGGCACCTTGGGTTCTATAAAATGAAATAACCTCACACCTATTCTTTTTTAATCTAGAAGATTTACGCATAGGCACAATAAAAAACACAAAAAGGAGTCTTCACCAAGCAATTTATGCACGCCTTGCCATCCTTTTCAAGTTGGAAATAGAGGAAAATCAACGTTGCGTGTCCAAAATTCTCTTTAAAATGAAATAACCGGGGAGCGGAGCGGTGGCGCACACGAGTAATATCAGCTACTCCAGAGGCTGAGAAGGAGAATCCAATTGGCTGAAGAGGCCAACCCAGGCAATTTAGCTAGACACTATCTAAAAATAGAAGAGCTACGGGTGTAGGAATTGGTAGCACTTCTCAGGGTTCAATCCTGAGTATTGAGGGCCGGATGGTGCGGGAAGAAAGCAGAAGAGAAAGGAAGGAGGATAATCGTCCTTCTCCCTGCTCCCCTTTCCCCTCTTCCCCCTACACTCCTCGAATTAGAATTCATTTTCACTTTCATAACTTTAAAACGTTTTTTTTTTAAATTAAGTACAAACTATAAAGTACAGGAAGTAGCTAAAAGTCCACTCCCTCCCCTCACCTCCCATCCCCCCTCAGCTCTGACTCTAATCAGCTTCTCAACTCAAAATACTTCCCTTGTGTCACTTTGGTTGTATTTAATCCTAAAGCCATACGTAGTTACAGCTGAGACCCTAGAAACATTGTCTTGTTTTGGGCAGCAATATCCCCTGCTACAAATCAGGATTTGTTACTGAAGAAGAAAGGGAGAATGGACTTTGGGACATCTCTGCAACACTCCAAAGTCACTCTTAAAATTCATGCTTGGTAAAGATGAATCAAGTTTGTCCTCTGACCTCGCATATCCCTTGGCAAAGGATCATGTAGTAGTGCTATTTGAGAAACTTGCTTTTATCACATAATTTTTAGTTACTAAGTATTTGATTTGTGAAAGAGCAGTTTACTTCATCCGTCCTCAATTGTTGGAAATTTCTTACTATAAACTGCACTGCAATGCTTGTCCTTAGAATTAAATTATTCCTTAAGATAAATTACAAAAGGTAGGGTTTTAGTTTTTAAAACATGTACAATTGTAAGACTTTAAAAAAAAACACACTGCTCTCCAAAAATGTATGAATTTGTATTCTCACCCTTTCAACAATAGGGCTTTTATTATTGTTTTTTACCATCATATGATATTGGCACATCTTGGTCAATCTGATAGGCAATTTTATTGCCAGGAAACAATAAAGAATTTTCATTATGAAATAAAAATGTAGGAAGTCGCAAATTAAAGTGGCATTAAACATATATATCTAATTTTGTTCCCTCCTAAACCCTACTAAAACTATAGTAAAGAGATTTGAAATGTAAGGAAAAGATGAAAAAAATAAAACACGAGAGGTAATATACTGGTAGATAAAAATCAGGCAAATAAGGATAATTCACTAATCAGACCAGGAAAACCAAATCCCAGACCAATAATAAAGAAAACTGAGGCTTTGAGGTTGGAGAGATCACAACATACTTGAAAGACTGAAAAACTCATTTATACTGAAGAATTCTCTAAAAGAACAGAAACTAACATAAATTTAACTCAAGCCTTACCACTTCCCACTTGTTTATCTGCTACAGCCACTGAAACTTGTCTCTACTTCTAACATAGATTCTTCCCAATGCATTCATTCTGCACAGTGCTGGAAGGTGAAATTTTTCCATAGCACATATTTTACTCCACAGCCCAAAACTTGAATTCTCACATTGTCTTTCTTTGAGGATAAAGTAGAACAAGGTTTTTGTTTGTCATACCCATTTCTACAGGACTTGACTTCCACTAATTCTCTCATTTATTTGTTTAAAAAGTGTTACTGAGTGTTAGGTAAGTGCCATTGTAAATAGCATTAGAGAAATAATAATAAAAATGACATATTCCTGTCCTTATGGAGTTTTTCAACTAATGGAAAAAATAAATATTAACCAAAGAACCTAGAACAAAGTATAAAAACAAATTTATGATAAGTGCTATTTAAAAGAGGTACATGGCCAGCCGTGGTGGTGCACACCTGTAATCCCAGTGGCTCGGGAGGCTGAGGCGGGGGACTGTGAGTTCAAAACTAGCCTCAGCAAAAGTGAGGTGCTAAACAACTCAGTGAGACCCTGACTCTAAATAAAATACAAAATAGGTCTGGGGATGTGGCTCAGTGGTCGAGTGCCCCTGAGTTCAATCCCCAGAACTCCCAAAAAATAAATAAAAGAGAAACATGGAGATGAGAACTCATGATGGAGGAATATAAGATAGATCAAGGAAAGGTTCCCTGAAGAACTACAGATTTAGATGAGATGTAATGAAGAAAGGTTTACCAGTCAGTAGGACAAGAGGTCAGAAGAGCATTTTGGATCTAAACTACAGAACATACCAAGGCCTTGAGGTGGGAGAGATCACAACATACTTGAAAGACTGAAAAACCAGTGTAGCTGAAGCATGCTGAGTAGGGAGAATCACTGAGAGCTGAAGATGGAAAGATAGGTAGGGTAAAGACCATTCAGGAGTCTTGCCATTTTAACTACTTAAATTTACCCAAACAGCAATAAGAAACCACTGGTATGCTTGAAGAGGTCAGGGGTGACAGTCTACTTGCATTACAAATCAATCATTTTGGGTAGTGTACAGAACATTGATTTGAAATAGCTGAGGTAGATATGAGTAAATATAGGTATGTCAATTACTAGATTTTTTTTCAAAAGGCCATGTAAGAAATGGCTAACTCTGATTAAAACAGTGATAAGGACACACAGAAAAGAGGATTATTTGTTAGAAATGTTTTTATATGTGAGTGACAAAAAAGTAACAATAGTATCTTACTAAAGATAAAGGTTTATTTATCTCTGAACTTAAAAGTCTACAGATAGGCAATATAGAGCCAATATAGTGCTTCACTATATTGCAAGAGACCAAGACTCCTAATTTGTTCCAACCCACATGGCCCCAATTCCTAATGTCTCTCATGGTCCAAAATAGCAGTTCCAGCACCAGCCATCAGGTCTATATTCTCACTAGCAGGAAGGGGAAAAGAGAGGAAAACTGGGACACCATTTCCATTTAGGATACTCTAGGGACACAGACTCTAGGGACACACCACACTTCCCATTGACCACATCTCAGCCTCATATCTGCATTTAATGGCAAGAAAGACCAAAAATACAGTCTTTGTTCAAGGTAGTCATGTGCTTGACTAAACTAGAGAGTTCTGTTACTTATATAAGGGGGAAAATTTTTTCAAAGAGAACTACAAGTCTCTGTCATAGGAGAGGTATGTGGGTCTTAATGATTGAACCTGAAGCATGTGAGAGAAGCAAGAGCTGAAATTCTGGCTTCTTCCACCAGAACAATGATATATTTGTTTTTCACTGAAATTGAATTCTAAATCTCCAATATCTCACCATTTATTCCTGTTCTCCTTTCCTCCTCTCCTACAAACACTGATCTTAGCCCTATTGAATTACCAATCATCTAAAACACACTTAAGTTGAATTCAGGTTTGCGAGGCCTAAAGCTTATAATTTGGGGAGTCCATTCTAAGATGAATACAAACTTACAAATACAAAATTAAATATAAAGACTTTGGAAGGAACCCATGCAAATGAGGGCCCCCAAAACTTACCCTTCATTCATGAGGGTACTTTTAGCTGCACCTTTGTCACTAAGAAAAATTTTAAGATACCATGGATTTTTAGGTACGTCTTATTCTATAAAAATTAATGAGAGAGAGAGAGAGAGAATTGGAGAAGTGTTTTTTTTTTTTTTTAAGATGGGGTTTTCCTGTGTTGCCTAGGCTGTTCTCAAACTACTGAGCCTAAGGGATCCTCCCACCTCAGCTTCCTGATTAGTAGCCAGCATTACAGATGTTCACCACCATGTGTGACTGGGGTATGGGTGTGTTAATCTTAAAATCATTGAAATGAACTATTTGCAGATCTCAGAATTGGCCATGCATATTCTTCCTCTGCTCTCAAAACTCTTATTCTTTCCTCCCCCTCCCCCTCCTCCTAATTTCTAGGTAAGTGTAAGGATTCATCTCTGAAGCTTCCTACTCCAGGAAGCATTCCTGGATGTGCCCTAATCTTTAGGAAGTTGTTTCTTTCATAACATCCAATATATTTCTGTATGGGAGCCCTCCTCTCCCTGTGTATATCTGTTCACTGGTCTATCTATCCTGCTTGTTAGCAAAGGAATCTCACCTAACTGATGTTTGTGCCACAAGCATCTGGTTGTTACATTTGGGATGAACAAATGAATGAAAGAGGTTCTTCTCTATGAGATTACTTGGCAGCACTAAGGATACTAGGGACGAAAAAAAAAGTATAATTCTCACAGCAATAGGAAGAATGGGCTGGGCACTGTGGTGTATACTTGTAATCCCAGCATTTTGGGAGACTGAGGCAGGAGGATTGCAAGTTCAAGGCCAATCTCAGCTATTTGGAGAGCCCTAAGCAAGTTAGTGAGACCCTGTCTCAAAATAAAAAATAAAAGGTTGGAGATGTGGCTCAGTGGTTAAGTGCTCTGGGTTCAATCCCCAATACCCCTACACCCAAATAGGAAGAAAGGCTCTTCTTTATCTGTAACTGAT